ATTGCAAGCATACGCCATTTTGAGGAACCTCTAGTTTTACAAAGTATTGAAGTCTCTGCGTAAAATATTTCTATCGTATAACCTCGTATGCGAAATTAGATAGCAAGTTTTATGGTTACGCGGATATGCACACAAGTGTTAAGATTTGTCAAATTCAGAGTAGATACAATAGCTTTAGTCTCCGATAGATGTGTTTAACACGTCTGTCCCTTCTACGGCAGTAATTGAACTTCGTTGTGTCATGAAAGGGATCACATGGGGTCGGGTATTCTTAATCTACCAGAGGCGGAGAACAAATTAGAAATATAATTAACGGGACCAAACCCATGAAGGTCGCTTAACAAAAGTGCTCAGCACGGCGAGCCTTAATTTCTATGTACAAAAAAAATCTATATACGCCCATGTATTAAGGTAGAGTTTACAGTAACGGGATAAAAGAACGAAATATTGTAAGTATCAATGATTTTCAACAAACCAACTTTTAAAGATATTAGATTTTCCGGTTGCAAGAGCCATTAAGCTGGTTGCCAGCCTTTGACGACCTATCATTGATAGTAAAGCCATACAAAGACTATAAAAGCACTCCTAATACCCTATTGTTAAGTATTTAATAGATAATTATCTCATAAATTATAGGCTCCACTAGACAGTAATGTACCTATGTGTATCATGGAATATAAAGATAGGGTTGAAATATTGAATTTTGTACAGGAACAGGAAGGAAATTTTTCAAAATCTATCAAATCATTTTTTAACTTGCGGCATTTTCTTACACTATCATGGCTACATTACCGTGAAAGGGAAAGCGTCTTTATATATTCCATGGTGTGTTTACCGTTTGATTAATATGATTAATATTTTACAGTATAAATCGACGGAAAATGCGTTTTCCAGAGAACAAATAATAAATTCGTTGAACTTTAATAAATCATTAATTTAAAAACATAAGGTACCTACCTAATTAGTCCATTGAAATGTTACATGGGCTGAACATTTGATAAAGGACGCAATTTATGGGACATGTAGCGGGGGTCAATACAAGCTTAAACCCAAGTTTGTGGGGTTCGCACCCTTGTCCCCCGGCCGCCATCTTGGAAAAAGGGGTGTAAACACGTTTTTGGCTATATCTCCTAAACTATACATCGTACAAAAAAATTGTAAAGACATAATTTGTAGCAAATTGAATTGCCTACAATTACGTATGTGTGACTTTTTATCATAAATCCAAAATTTATTCATATTAACAAGAATGTCACGTCAACATGATCTTTTTTTTTTTTTTTTTTTTTTTATGTAATAGGAGGCAAACGGGCAGGAGGCTCACCTGATGTTAAGTGATACCGCCGCCCATGGACACTCACAATGCCAGAAGGCTCGCAAGTGCGTTGCCGGCCTTTCAGGAATTGGTACGCTCTTTTCTTGAAGGACCCTAAGTCGAATTGGTTCGGAAATACTTCTGTGGGCAGCTGGTTCCACATAGTGGTGGTGCGCGGCAAAAACTGCCTTAGAAAACGCTCTGTTGTGGAACGACGGACGTCGAGGTGATACGGATGGTATTTTGTATTTTGCCTTGACGTCCGATGATGAAACTCAGCTGCAGGTATTAGACCGAACAACTCCTCTGAACACTCTCCATGGTAAATGCGGTAGAAGATGCAGAGAGATCCCACATCTCTACGCAACGCCAAGGGATCAAGCCGCACGGAAAGTGACTGGTCGTCGACGATTCGAACCGCTCTTCGTTGAATACGGTCAAGTGGAAGGAGCTGGTACTGGGGAGCTCCCGCCCAGAGGTGAGAGCAGTACTCCATATGGGGCCGAATTTGCGCTTTATATAGTTGCAAGCGGTGGCCCGGAGTGAAGTACCGTCTCGCCTTGCTGAGCACACCAAGCTTTTTGGAGGCTAATTTAGCCTTTCCTTCCAGATGACCGCGAAACTGAACGTTATTCGATATGTCAACGCCCAGTATTCCGATCTTGTGTTCTTCCGATAAAAAGCCAGAATTTTAATAAATCATTGGCATTATCTATAACCAAAATAATCTTTTAGATCGATTTGACGTTGGCATTTACATGAAAAACAGTTCCATCTATCATCAATTTCCTTACACATTTCACGACATTACCTGGGAGAATCGTCACGCCTTGTAAAAAGGCTTTTATCTCGGAGAGTTGAATAGAACACAATAATCTCATTAAAGAGATGTATTTAGATATAATCCTATTAAGCCGATTGATGACGACAGTAAATAAGGATTTCCTTTCATTATCCATAATTATGTTTTGTTTATATTGTTTGAGATAAAAAGAGATACATTTTTTTATTCAAACAATTAATAAACACATTTTTATTTTATTTATTATAACGCAAAACTCAAACACAAAATAACTTTATTCATATAGGTAAACAAGTACACTTATGAACGTCAACAGAAAATATTATAAATTGATTCTAAATTTACATTTACTACCAGTTCGCAAGTCAAGGGCGTATAGCGGGCAAGAACTGGCAAGGAACTCTCCGCCACTCGTTTTAATCGCTAAGTTTTGAGTCATACAAATTACTTGAGCTGGAGCAAATCAATCCCAAGGATTAGGATCATTTAAATTAATTGACATACATTCTCCTTATTTCCTAAAGGTCTTTTATTGCCTTATTAATTAATTAGATACATCATTAAATTTCTGCAGCATTCTTTAGATAATAATAATTACAATTAGTTAATATACATAAAATTTAATGAGCTATTCTGAGTGTGGCTGTAAGTAGTTAAAGTCTTTACCTGATAATATTGTATATTTCCCTGCCCCTCCATCACAATACTAACGAATGAGATCCGGCACACATTATCACTAATACTAAAAGTTTTCAACTGCAAAATGTATGTATGTTTATATGTATATTGTGGCCTTTTAAATCTTTTCAACATACTCCAGTTACTTATTATAACCATCAATTTTATTATAGCTAATGGACAAAGATAACTTTCAAGCAAAGTAAATAATAAAATACTCATATTAAATATTGCTATCTGATTCTCAACAAAAATATTCCTTATGTAAGAGAATATTAGTGAAAACAACACAAACATTTTATTATTTGTATGACAAACGACGCGGATATCATGTACTGAAGGAAATAAACCAACATAGACGTTGTAAGTCTATAATTTAATAAAAAAACAGTAAGGTTTTATAATGAGATAACAGTATGGTGGCTGGTTTCAAAAGAAATACATAAATATAAAACTACAACAAAGGCATCATTAGAATTTAAAAATTAAGATTATGAATTAAACTAAAAGGGCCGCAGATATTGAGGCTGGTAGCTTTAATATCAGCAGTACAGGAGCCAGATACAGGTTCCTGTACTGCTTTTGAGAATAGTATTGAGCACTATGAGATAGAGAGAGAGTAATGAAAGTCAACTTTTAATGTGTATTTTTAAAAGCATTTTTTTTACCTTTTGAAAGAGATATCAATTAATATGACAAAAATTTTACATTTCTGTTTTATATTTTGTTTGTATCAAAATAAAACAATCAAAATCATATTTAAATACAGAAATCTCATTTAAGGTTAATAATATAACACAACTATAATAGGACTGTGGGCACATATTATAACTAGTAAACATCCCTCATTCCTAGATAAGAAATATCTGGGCACATACTGGCTGCAGTATAATATTCAAAGTAAATTTGAGAAGAAAAGAAACCTCTATAATCATAACTTTAAATCAAGTAAACTCACATATTTATGTTTAAATAGTAAGCTAATAATTGTTCTATTTGTTAGTTTTATATCACAGTATTTTTATAAAATGTGTATACAATCTCTTTAATTTACCATTAGTGTTTTTCAATAATTCTGTTTTCCTTAGGGTATATGAATAAATCAATATGTACAGTATGTACAAAAAGAAAACTGTTGTTGGATATATTGCGGTGCTAAGTTGCTGCTAAGCTGATAACACTTTTATGTCAATGTAGTTAGACAGTTATCATCATGATACTTAAATAAGTAAATTAATAATTAATTAATATAAAGTATATAATTCCTGTAAATATATGAAGTGACGCATAGCACATAAGAATTATACTACATTATTAGTATCCATAAACACTATGCTGGTTCTTTTAAGAAATTACTTTAAGTAAGTTTTATTAATGAAACTTAAAAAAAAATCGGATTTTTCAAAAATTATAAATTTATATGAAACTAAGAAATTTAACATATTTAGAGGAAATTGATTATTTTTTTAAGAATCACAATATTCTTAGGAGTGAATAGGAGACTGTTACTTAAATTGTAAATACCTATATCAAAAATATTATATAGATAGTTAAAGTTATTAGTATATCATATAAGTTTATTAAAGAAACTAGGACTCACCCGATTGTTTTTAAATGATAATGCGAAGTTGTTAATGTGTGATCCTTCCATAGCGATAAAAAAGTATTTTGTTTATTTATAAAGTACTTTACGAATATTTAATGAATCTTTTTCACCCAATAATAACAAACTTAACCCCATACCAACACGAGAACTCTTATGAAACTTTATGCAAATTGAAACGGCGAGTATGATTCCAACCGAAAACAAAGTAAAACTTATTTTAAAATGTCAATTGTTTGTAAGCATGCTTAAATTTGACATTGACAGCTGCGTAAACTAATCAACAAAAAAACATTACTTACTAGATGTCACTGTTATACATTTTTAAAGCTAATTATTGATCTTAACAATTATTGTTAATGATTTATTAATTTTCTAAGTACATACGTATCTTTATTATTAGCTAACGGCATGTTTTGGCCTTGCACTGTTGGTCATTTATTTTATAAAATATTTTGGAATTACACGTCGCCTATGTAACTCATTTTTTATTTTTTCCATTATGTAGTTAATTTGTAAGAAGCATACAAAGATAATATAAGTAGGTATATCCTCATTATAATATTAGAATCAATAAAACCAACTCTTTTAAAGTTATATGATTATATTAAAAATTGCAATAGATAAACAAATATAATTATTTGTAAACCTATTTTGAATGTAGTCGATGAACAATAACAATCTTTAATGACTGCTTCGTTATAATACATTTTCAAATCTTCTACTATTTCTTCGACGAATTTATCTTTTTCTACGACCTGAAATTTTTCTCTATTATTTAAACTATCTGGTTCATTTGTAGGATGAACGATAATGTTAAAGTTATCATCAGGTTTCGTTTTATCTCTGTGTCTTCTTGTACTTTTGGTATATTCATCATATTCGTCATAAACATAATCCCTGTCGTTCTCTAAACTATTATCAATTTCTTCGGATGCAGGCTTTTTGTGTTTTCTATTTTTATGATGTTTGGGTATTTTTAAATCACTTATTGCATCCGGATGATAGTAAAAGTTTGTATAGTCTGCCACGGTTCCAACAAAGTAGGGTGAATACGTAATATAAAAAGGATATGTTATTGGAGGGACTGTTGAAGTGGATCTGGTGCATTCATTAGGATTCCTAGAATTTTGTTCTTCTGGTTTTTTGAAACCTAGAGTGTGCTTGGTATGCTTATGTACAGATGTATGAGAGTGCTCGGCACCGTTCGTACATGTGCATTGCTTCGATAAACGTGGATATTTAGTGGGTATGTCTATTTTATGTAATTTATCGGAAAGACTTCGTAGCTCGAGTACTCTCTCACTTGTACAATTTGATTTACATTTAGACACTTCTTGTTCGTTACTTTCTTCTGTATCTGCAGTTTCGTCTATTCTTTTCATGTGCTTTTCAAAATCTAACTTCTTTTCCTTGTTAGATTGTATTCTATCTATCGGCCATCGCTGTTGTAGTTCGAGTATTGGTGTAGGAACATATCGTTTGCTGCTAATTTGTACTGTGGACGGTGTCGAATTTCTTTCAAATATTTGTTGTTTTATTGATAGCATTTCATCTGACAGCATTTTATCGAAAATATTTGCTTTTAAGTCTTTCAAATTGCTATTGACTCCGAGCTTGGAAACTTCAAATAAGATTTTCGAAGGTAATGTCGCTGTGTTCATATTTGACTTTGTTGAAACTGAAACAATGTGACACTTAATATTTTTTTCGCAAATTAGTTATAAATAACTTAACTTTGATTTTCGTCCTTAACACTGCTCTCGACGTGAAATCGCTTCATTGGTTTAAGAATAAATATAACAATACTAGATAATATTTAATAACCATTGTAAACAGGTTCTCCCTGATATCCATAATTGTACACAGCAGCGGTCGTGGATTTATAATTAATTTGAATTAAAATTATAATGAAAAACACAATAAACATAACCAAAACTAAATTTTACATTTTAATGCTTTATGACGGAAAATATATATAAAAATCTATAAGGCCTAGATTTGTTTTTTGTGTTTCACTTGTATGTTATGGTTATGTTTAAATTTAAATTGTGCGTTATTATTTTGTGCGCTATTGTAGTATCGAGTAATAAATACTGTAAAATATGTTTAAATCATACAATGTGCAAATATACAGTAAGTAGTTTGTATACTACACAAACTGTTCAAATTATTAAACTCAATTCAATTATATTTTTTGATCCCCCAAATATTTGTCACTAAATCGTTTTGATGCAAAAAAAATCACACAGAATTCATCATATATTTCCTTAAAAATATAAATTTTTATTTATAAAATAATATAATCATATATAAACCGAAAATAAAGTAAAACGCCTAGTGTATATTACTGAGCAATAATCACATTGTTGCGTAAACGTCAAATCACAATGGAGTAATTAAATATCATTTCGGACTAGTGTTCTGTATCTATTAGAGTAAGCCGAATAATTCCATAACTAAAGAATAAGCTATGTCTCAGTTTCACTCACGTGAATTTGGCCTATCCAACACAAAAATATTCCTTCCATTTGAACCAGTAGTTCCTGAGGGTAGGGGTTCACAGCCAGGGAAGTGAGACTGATTAAACATAAAATCGCTAGGTTTCAAAACCACATCACAGGTGTACGGGATTTGAACACAATCTCACAGACAATGATATCAAGGAAATTGTAGACAGAATAAATGAAAAGAGAAATTATGTTGCGATGGGATATTTGAGAGGGTTTCCTCAAGCCGCAAATATGAAGAAAATCGTACGTTTGTACCTAAATAACTTATTTCGTAATTTGTTAGGTCTTATCAAAATTAGTAAAAGTAGTTAGTCGTGTAGCCGTACAGTTAGTAAAGTTGTTACTGTTGTATTGTAGTAATACAACAGTATTTAGAACTTTGTCTATAAAAAGCAGATATATACGTATAGTCTAGTTGATAAAATCGTCTAGTTGTACGAACAATATTGTCAAACGTTCAAAAATACTTAGTCAAGCAATGCAAAGTTCGAATAGTAACTAGGAATAATAAAATTAATATGTTTAATTAAAAATCTTTTATTCAGTTTTTCTTCGTATAAAATTTAATTCAATTAAGTGGGATTATTCAAATTTTATAATCGTAAAAAAACAAGATATACGTATTAAAAATATGTACATATATAGGTATATAATTTTCTTTTGAATTGTGCAGAAATATCCACATGATTTGTTGACTACAACGATCTTATAGGAAAACCAATGTCGGCCATTTTCTGTACAAGGATCGACATTTTAATCAGAATGTATAAAGACTTCCGTTCTTTTCCAGACATGGTCCAGTGAATTGGCGGAGATTGCCCAACGTTGGGCAAACCAGTGTGATCCATCCATTATGCCGGACAAAGAGGACGAATGTAGAGATTTAGGTTGGCATTATTGAGTATTGACAGCCAAGTTGTGGTGGTGACGCGCCTACTAACAAATATAATTTAATCGGAAATAGTGTTAGCCTAGTGGCTTCAACGTGCGACTCTCACCCTTGGGGTCGTATGTTCGATCCCCGACTGTGCACCAATGAACTTCCTGTCTATGTGCACGTTTAACACTCGCTCGTACGGTGAAGGAAAGTTCGTGAGGAAATCGGCATTAAAAACAGTGACAAGACAGTGTGTATCAAGGACAGAACGTTGATGACCTACTTTGATATTAGCAATTATCACGGAACAGATACATAAATCTGATGCCCAGACTCAAATTATTATATAAATATTAGTATATAATTATCTTAATAGTGTAACGGAATTAAAATAACTTTTTTTTATGTAATAGGAGGAAAACGGGCAGGAGGGTCACCTGATGTTAAGTGATACCGCCGCCCATGGACGCCTCACATTGAGGCTCGAAAGTGCGTTGCAGGTCTTTTAAGAATTGGTTCGCTCTTTTCTTGGAGGACCCTAAGTTGAAAAGGTTTGGAAATACTTCAGTGGGCACGGCGGCAAAAAGATGACAGATTGAAGATTAATTATGACATATAACTACACAATTATAACTATTGCAGTATATGCATTTACTGCCGGTGATAGGCGTTATTTTATACTTATAAATTCGCACCAAAATATATTTTAGAAGGAACGAAAGTTGGACAAAACATAGCAACTGTTACGGGGGTAACCAACGAATTGAATGTGAAAAATTTTATCGATATATGGTTTATGGAATCGCTTGCTTTTAGAGGAAATGTTGTGTACTATAATTCGTAAGTATCCACAATGACTATATAATATGTATTGATATATATGTCGGAGCAATGGCGCTGGTATCAGCTGCCATTGCAATTATAATTTAATAACATCAAAGTGAATTTAGTTCAAAACTGTTCTGTGGTTTACAATTTCCTAGTAATTTCTTCCTAAAACCTTTCATCAGTTTCTTAAGTGAATGATTCAATTCCGTAATACTAAAAATTATGTTACATTCAGAGGGCGTAAGAATTTTAGAAAGGCTAAAGTAGGGTATGGCACAAAAAAGGTTGGGAATCACTGGTTTAAACGGTGGGAAATATAGATAAGAAGTAAATAAAAATACTAAGAATAATGAGAGCAGTGTTGGCCTAGTGGCTTCAGCGTGCGACTCTCATCCCTGAGGTCGTAGGTTCGATCCCCGGCTGTGCACCAATGGACTTTCATTCTATGTTCGCATTTAACATTCGCTCGAATGGTGTAGGAAAACATCGTGAGGAAACCGACATGTATTAGACCCAAAAAGTCGACGGCGTGTGTCAGGCACTGGAGGCTGATACAACAATGAAAACTGTTCCTAGCTGGGAAATAGTTGATGGCTTTAGAAATAAAAAAATGTCACTTGGTTCATTGGTTGTCATATATTTAATAGTTTTTTCTGAAATTTGCGTTTCATAGCTGAAGTATAAGGCCTATCTCTTTGGTCTGTTTTTAGACGACTCATTGGTCTAGTGGTAGTACCCCTGACTGCGAATCCATGGGTCCCGGGTTCGAACCCCGGCTGAGACGAACATCGATGTGATGAGCATTTGGTGTTGTGCTTAGGTCTTGGGTGTTTAAATATGTATTTATATGTCTATCTATATATAATATGTATGTATATCCGTTGCCTAGTACCCATAACACAAGCTTCACCAGCTTAGCATGGGACTAGGTCAATTGGTGTGAATTGTCTTAAAAAAAAAAAAAAAAAATTTGTTTGACACAAGGTAGGTGATACGAAGTTCACCATCACCGGGTTATCTAGTTTTATATAATCTGAAACCCTAATTCCAATAATTATTAAAATACTTTAGACAGTTATGGTCTTAGATTGATAATACTTGATCGAAATTGTATGAAGTACCCTTCTGTACCTACCACAGAAATTTATTTTATACTATATTCCTCACTGAGAATTTTACTTTTTATCATAATAAATATAAAAATACCAATTTCATTCAACAGGTCAGAAAATAATAAATGTAATAATTTCGTACAGTTAATTTGGGCCCCAACAAGCAATGTCGGTTGCGGAAGAGCCGCTTTTCATGTGAGTATTTTAAGCCACCTATTGTTAAAACGTTGACTCCATAATTAATGCACCTGATAATTCAACGGTTTCTACAAAATTAACAATGTAAATTAAACCTTTGTTTTATCAAGATAATTTGGAATGAACATGTAAATTAATTTTAAACATACTGTTCCAAGTGGATCGGATAGAAACGAAATCTTCTTCAATATTCAAGGATTATTTAAAAATAGTCAACGAGAACGACAATAATAAAGACACAAAACCCCGTCGCAAATTACTTTAATAGTAGCTTAACACTTTCGCAGTAGGTACTTACCACTTGTCACAATATTTGCAGTTTGAACTCTTTGCTGTTTATCTCTCGGAATCGCACTCACAGGCGCGTTTCGGCCTGCTTATAGAAAGAATAATCGTCAACGATATTCTAAAACTCTCTGGTGGGAGTGGTACTGAGTAGCTGGTGTTCTATTCTTATCGCACACCTCTAGAACGTACGTTCTCTTTATCTCTTCCACACAACACTCCGTCTTTGGCTTTGAGAAGGTTCTGATCTTCCTTCTCTCTTGCGTATCATTCGTTCCACACCTATAATTGTCACTCTACAATATTCTATCGCCAAATTATAATCCCGGAAACACCTAAAAAGGGGCTGTACACTACTTTGAAATAGCCTAAAAATGTTCCAGCCCAGTAACTTTATATAAATTTAAATTTTCTGGTAAGTATGTGAAAGAAAATAGCCGGTCATAAACTTTTTTTTTTAAATATAATAGGGGGGCAAACGAGCTTGCGGGACGACCAAAAAGGGCAGTCTTCGCAGCCCATAGACATCCATTTTTAGTGGCTGCGTTGCCGGCCTTTGAGGGAGGAGTACACTCGATTTTTAATCATTTGGAGGTGGTATCTCTGAGGGAAGACCCCCACCGGGAGTTGATTCCACAGTTCGCAAAAGAAAATGCCTTGTGAAACGGACTGTGGAAGACCTCCAACCATTAAGATGATGTTGGTGAAATTTAGAGCTCGAACGGCTCGTACGGTGTTGAAAAGAGGCAGGAGGGATCAACCCAAACAATTCTTCCGAACACTTTCCGTAGTATACTTTGTAACGAAAATGCAAAGAGACGCAATGTCTCTGCGTAGCGCGAGAGATTCAAGCCGATCAGTAAGATAGGACATTACAGGTAGCTGAAAACGTCACAGTTAAAAAGTCTAGAAATATTTCGTAACAGAATTGTATGTTTATCACTGCAATCGTACGTACATTTAGTACATCATATGTTTTTATTGTGTCCTCAGATTAGGATGAATGGTATCCGTCGACGGGTTGATAGATTGGTTTGCAACTTTATGCCTAAAGGAAATATTAATCGTCGTCCCATCTACACTATTGGTTTGCCCGCAACGCAGTGTGTTGAGCGTTTGGAACCGGATAAAATGTATCCAGGGCTATGCTCTCCTGATAACGGTATGTTTATTTATATATATCTAATATAGTGACTCAATCTTATTGAAAAACATTAAAATAATATCTAAAGGCCTTTTTATTAGTTTAATCATAATATTAAATAGAACTCTTCGATAGTGATCAACAATTAAAAGAATGATATTTATAGATCAAAAATACTATTTTTTTCTTCTGAACAATAAATTATATTATTAAACAAGCCTAAATACGTGATCTTCACCTAAACTAACATTTTAACTTACATTCATAGTAATAAATGTATGGGTCTTTCCAAATCTGGAATGGATGTATCTCAGTTTCATCGCTTTACATGTGTAATGCATATATAATCGCCTCTGAACGTAATTGGATTGCAGAGTTAACAACGCCAACTAGTTTGCTTATTAATCCAGTCACGAGTGAAATTGATCCTATCAGACATCATCATAACGATATGGTAAAGGATTTAATTAGCGGTCAAAATACTGAAAACAGTAAAAAAGATTATGGTAAGAACAGTTCACTGTTTTATTGCTATAGGTAATAGAGAAGAAAATTTAATATTAGGATTTAGTTTCAGTTTTAAAGAGGGATAATAAGGAGGTACGCTGGAGCCCACCTAATGCTGGAAGAACTGAGAGTCATATTATCCAAAGGGAAAGAGGGCATTCCCGTATATATCATAGTCATGATCACACCGATGAGTTTGATTACCTGCATCCAGATCAAAGTCAATTCAGAAAATTCGATACCGCAAGCCCTATTCCGGAATATTATTCAACTGGATTTTATAGAAGAAATCGCGTTCAACAATGCACTCGGAAATCTGATACAAAGATTTCAAACGATTACGTGTCACCCACTTGTTGGTCTTCATTTAGTCCACTAAAGCTGTGTACTAGGGGACAGAATAATAATTGTGCTGCATACGATCAAAAAATTGATACTACTACCAAACAATTCTTTTGCCAGAATACACAAAATCTTTGCCAATGTCAATCTTTAACCTCAGTTCATCTATCACCATGCCTTCAAAATAATAATTGTGAATGTATAACGGCTGGTCAACACTCAAACAACTGTCCGATGAGGAGAAATTTGGAAGAACACAGGCCAAGTAAAATCTTAATAGATGAATATAAAAAACCTTACGATAAGTATGTTGCGAATGATTACAGCTTGTTTGATACACCAAAAACAGAATTAAAATTCAAAGATAACGAATTTCCAAAATCAGATGTACCTACACGATTTTTATTACGCAAATCCAAAAAGTTGCTCGATTCAAGGTAGAAAGCTTAGATTGTATCCTTTTTAATATTGTAATTTGAACAATGCTAATTGTTTGTCTTTAAATATTTGTAGTGAAAGAAAAAGAAGAGGAGACATTACTTTTAAACCATTTTGGCAAGAAGATGAATTTGATAAAAAACAGCACCAATTAAAATCGATAAGATATACAACGTTAGGCTATACTAAAAGAACACGTAAACGGAAACCAATAAAATCATCTAATACACAAAACCTCGTTAAAGTGACTGAACCAATTACAATATCCATGAATGTAAGCCATAAAAAATTTGCCACAGAGAAGTTTTTGTCATTCGATGAACTGTTACGGCTAAGAAAACTTAATACTGCTGATATTAATGCACGTCGTGCAGATGAATCAGCACCACCCCAATCTGAAGAAACCGCCACACAAACCGAATCCAGCACATCAGAGTATACAGCAAATACACCTTTTATACGTTTAAAACATTGCACGAGAAAGTTAACGTGTACTTGGACCGCTGCATCGTTAGGGGATAATGAAGGAAATGCGGATGTTGGCAATAGAGGCTCTCGAACTCCTCCTGGCTATGTTGAAGGCTGCACGCGAACTTCAACTTGTACACGTGACTTCATGAATCGAAATAAAATGGACACAATCCCAACACCCAGTGCTGAGCCTGAAATTGAAGATGGAAGTGATGAAGATTATTGTGAAAAACGATCATTAAATGTAAGAAGGGATTCAAAGCTACAAGAAATTTTAAATGTTTCCCCTTACACTATTCTACCTTTTGTACAGAATAAGGACAAAGATCTTGCTGAAAGCAAACACGAAAGTATAGAATCGGAAACCTGTGAATGTGAAAATGATTATCTCAGAAATAAAAAAATAACTAGTGAACAGAAATTTATTAAGAAAAGAGAATCTGAAAGTTACGGTTCATTGTCGTATGGAGATTTATTTTATTTAGTCGTGAATAAACTGATGAAAAATTGGAATTTAAACAAAAAAATACAATCAGACAAGTGTTCATGTAATTTGGCAAATGAAAAACAATACAATGCTTGGCTTTTAATATTAACATTATTTTCTAGTAATTATATGTTTCGCTGACTATTTAAAAAATAAATAATATACGAAAATAAATTTATTTTGGATAAAGTTTTTGAGCAGGTCGTTGTTGAAGTTGTGTGATGAGAGCAATGAAATTTAGCGTTTAATTTTATTTTCTTCAAATCTGTCGCCAAATTTTTTAACAGTTCCTCGTAATTTAATATTGTTTCTCCGTAGCGATATAAATTTCTAACGATATTATGTCGAGTTTTACTTCTTTTATCTCGCTTTTCTCTGTCAATACCTTTTGGACCAATAAAGACATGTTTCCAAATTTCAAAATTATTTTTGTCTCTTATTAATGTAATTGTATCTGTAAGTAACAAAACAGAAACATTTAAAGATTTTTGTATTGACAGTGTATATCAGTCAACCGGTACATTCTACTCTTTAAATTTTGCATCAATTACCATTCATATTATTATCACTTGCTATAATATGACTTTTTGTTACTGTGTTTGCATTAGAATCAGATTCAAGAATTTCTTCTACAAAATCTCTTGTATGTTGTTTTCTTTTTAATTCTTCAAGTTCCATAATTATTTCAGATACAGGTATATTAGACTGATCATAATAAGATTCTGTCGTATCAGTTTGATCGTCTTCACTATCTTCTGGGAAAAAGTAATGTCCAGTAAATTCTAAGTTACGTGGTATTTCACCTAATTCGGCTTGCATCTGAACTGTTTTTGCCTCTATAACTTCTGTACTGGGAAACACAACTTCAAGTGTAGTCATTTTATCTGTGGGAAAATAAACGTATTATTTTTTAAATAATATTATTTATTTACCGTGTAATGTAACTTCATTATAATATTACCTCGATTCCGAAATATGACAGCTTCAACTAAATCTGCAAGTAGTGTAGAATTCATGATATCACTGTCCGTTGGCTTTGTCGTTGTGGATTGTGTTTTTTTGCTATATATTTTACTAACTATGGCATCAATCTTAGCATCAGTATATTGACTTTCTCCGCCAGGAGCTTTTGTAAGTAATAATTCTCTAAATATATTATCTGTACTTAATTTTTTTCTCAATAAGTCTATGAACTCATCGACAGCCAACAGGTTTTTACAAAAAGTAGCACTTTCCTTTTTTGTAGTAGCTTCGTAGTTGCTGACGTTAAAGAGATGTGCATACAAATCAAATGCGATATCTGTTTCTGTATCATTGCTTGATTCTCTTAATTTTTCATTGGAATAATCTTTATTGGTGTCTAAGTCTGTCGAAGTGTTGTTTATTAAAATATTCGAATATTGGATGTTGACTCTCCTTTCGACATTTTCTTTGAAGACACTAATCTGCCCTGCATGACGAAAAATATCATCATAAAATTGTACAGTTCACATAAACCCTACTAAGTGTGTGCCTATATATGAGTGCGTATTTAATATCACTAACACGCATTATTTATATCCTTTAACTTATTAGGTACTGTCACGTTTAGGAGTCGATTATAATACGTACATTATTCCTTAATATGTTAAGGGAATAAGACGCAGGTGTCATACTACGCGTCAAAGCGTCACCAAGTTGTCCAGCTTTTTCGTTAATTATTATAATTATAAATCAATTTATTTAAGTTTTTACCACATAGAAATGTATATTTTGAATCACAGTCACTATTATAAGGACAGTCACTGCAAGGATTTCCTTCATTATAAACACTTTGCTCCTTTATATTGCCGCCAGGCAGGAAATTGCACACTAGTCTCTGAACTGTTCTATTTTTATTTCCTGATCTTTCCTGAAAATAATTTATTATACGTTATATTTTTAGCAGTGTTGGCCTAGTGGCTTCAGCGTGCGACTCTCATCCCTGAGGTCGTAGGTTCGATCCCTGGCTGTGCACTAATGGACTTTCTTTCTATGTGCGCATTTAACATTCGCTCGAATGGTGTAGGAAAACATCGTGAAGAAACCGACATGTCTTAGACCAAAAAAAACGACGTCGTGTGTCAGGCACTGGAGGCTGATCATCTACTTGCCTTTAAAAATGATCATGAAACAGATTCAGAAATCTGAGACCAAGTCCTAAAGAGGTTGTAGCGCCACTGATTTATTCTATAAAAATAATGATGGTGGCAAATCCAACAGCAAGACAGCCGTTTCCAAACTATTTGTAACATATAACTATCACGTTTATAATTACAGTAGGTATGTTTGCGCCATGCTTAACTGAATTATAATGCAAAACTTTACCTGAAATTTGACAGCGCCGCATCCAACTTCTCTATTATTTGCCCATATAAGTTGGGTGAAATACTCATAGTGGGCGAGGCGTGACGTTGTAGAACTATTAAAATAGGTATTTTAGTCATAAAATATATATAGATATAATTATAAAGATAAAAAACTCAGTAATAAGTATATGAGGGTGTCACAGTTTCTTTGCCTACCGATCAAAACAAAAAACTGCAAAGAGCAGAAATTATTGTATAAGTTTTTATTAAAAACAATTATTTTTCCCTACCGATTAAATACATCCATAATGGTAGACCGACTGGCGCACTTCGGTTTTGAAATTTCTTTACATTTAAAATGTCTTGGGTATTTATTTATTTATTGCATTAAGGAAGATGTACAGTATTTTAACAGAAGGTAAATTATGATTACAATAAAATAAAATCAGTACTAATTACAAATCTCCACCTATAGATAATCCATAAATACCTTAAGGAGATAGGAGGAATAAAATTAACATTTATGAATTTATAATACTATGAAACAATAAAGAACTTTAGTAAATAATAAATTAAGTATGAAAAAGCAGAAGATTTAAATTTATAACTATTCTAATGGAATAAGCTGGATGTGAGGGTGCGTCTCACCGAGTCAATGGAGAAACAGAAAACATCGATGTCAAACTGGGTTGAATATTGGTTGTAGGTCTGCACACTTCGAATCATGAATGTATTTTTCCTATAGTTGGTATTAAGTCGAGGCATTTTGAAAAGAGGGCGGTGTCTAAACCATAATAAGTAAAAAGTTGAGTTGATTATTTAATTGGGTCTCGTGTCGTTATAATTATTGCCGAGTATGTGTTATTTAGCTATACTTATATCGTACTTACGGTCGATAATCAGATATGATGTTTGAATTAAAACTAAGTAACTCCATATACCACAGATCGACTAATGTTGCGGGACTGAGTCTCGGTGCTTCACCGTACAGTGTGCCAATGTTTTGACCGATTGTTCCGTTACCTTGAAAAATAAATAGTATTTATTTACGCTTTTCATACCAGTTAGACAGGCGTTTGCCTTCATTTGATAGAAGGTAATATACGAGCTTAGTAATGGATATGAGATGCCCTTTTGATTTTTATTTAATTAAAGATTTCTTGTATTAAATTATTTTCCAATATGGCTTAAGCCGTTCAATACAAAACGTATATTAACTAAGATGGTAAATAGTTAGCTTCATATATCATTACCTCGTATGAAGATGATCTTAAATGGGCCTAGTGTTAAGGGACAAAGGTGTGGTTACAACAATCTAAAGACGCGTACATATCCGCTGCACTTACGAAATCAGAAGAGCCGAAATCTACTTTTGAAAAAACTTATTATTCTGCTAATGATTATTTAAACGAACTGCAATTTATATTAATTTGATGAGGTAATAATGTAGTTTAGTAATGTAATGACCTAGTTTCCAACTTTAATTTTGTCCCCTTTGGAGTAGAGACTCCTAGGCCAAGTGCACAGGCGGTATTTAAATATTTAAGTTGGCGCCTGGAAGATAGTACCGGTGACCCCAGAACTGGTGCTTTCCTCGCTCAACGAATAAGTATCGCAATACAGCGAGGAAATGGTGCCAGCGTTCAATTCAATTCAAAAGTCATTTAGTCATCTAGGTATAATTTGCATTTCAATTTACGCCATCTCACTATCTTATTACCATTAGTGCCCACACATTGTTATCGTCTATGTATTCTTGAACTGTGTAATATCCTTTTTTATTAGGGTTTCCTTGGTGTAAAGTTAAACTTAAGTAGCGGAAGTTATATGATCTGGAATTTTGTTATATATCTGTATACATTTCCCCATAAAGGTACACTGCCATAGGGACCAAAATTTTTTAAATTTATTTAATTAATATTACTATGTAGGTACCTAAAGAATAATATAAATATAATATAAACAATATTTTTATTGTAATATAATAAAAAATAATACTTAATTCAAAATTGAACCAAATTATTTATTATAAATTGGCACGCCACTGTGGCTGGCAGGATCATATTATATATTATTATTATCTGTACGTATATAATTAGTGGCAACACAGGCTCAACACAAACTATATACAGGGAAATTATTATTATGTTACGCAGAACAATGCATTAATGTAACGTAGTTCAATTTGTAATACTAGTAAATACAGAATCTATCGGGATTCAATGAATGTATTAAATGAACCACACTATCAGTACGCTTCGGAATTTAGTGTTGATTATGTTTTAAATGATTCCGTGAAGCGGCGAATATTGTTTTCGATTTAATTTAAGTTTATTCTATTATTAGTCAGTATGACAATGAAGGTTTTCATCGTTAAAGAATTCACTTAGGAAACGACGGTACAAACTTATATCCAACAGCAAAGACAGAGAAAAGAAAACGGTAATTTAATCAAGTAAAAGAAGATAGTGAATATTAAAGGGGTTATCCAAGAACCATTACAAGTTTTTTATATATATATATATATGTTAGACGTTTAGAGCAAAATCTCCATCGAGACTGCTCCTCTCTTTCAACCGTGTCGATCAAGACTTAGGATTTGTCGCCTTTTAAGCCTATTTATTAGGTCCGGTATGGTTAGTTGCGTGGCAAGCTTATTAGGATGCATTTATAGCCTTTTTCTGTATTTCATACTCCAGGTCTTGATCTCCTCTTTGACAGTCCTGATTTTGAGGTGCTCAGGAATCTCCGATGTTTTTATAAACCACGGACAGTTGGATATTTGTTTCAAGATGTAATTTTGAACCCTCTGTATGATACTTATGTTAGAGTCACACGCCGAACCCCATGGTTGAATCCCGTATGTCCAAATTGGTTTCAAGAGCATTTCGTAGATGAGTATCTTATTATCTACTGACAGTTTGGAATTGAACCATTACAAGTAGTGTTTAAAAGATGCTGCATCAATACAGGATCCTAAAAGTTCACCGCCATGCATGCGGGTTAAAATAAAAATAATTTTATTAAAAAGGCACTAATTCAATTACTATGACAGTGTAAGGCTAGTAGTTATGCCTGTGACTCTCTTCCATTAGAATCCCGAATATTCAATAATAAATTTTGGCACTGGCCGGCAACTTGCGAGCCCTATGGTAATGTAAGCGTCTAAGTGGCGGTACAGATACCGGCAAACTTCTTGAGAATTAAACAAGGGAGTGGGGGAAATTTTGCGCATCGTATACATACACACACAAACGTCAACTGATTTACCAATCACGCGATTGACACGTCACTCTACCGCCGCCGCCCCCATCCCTACCTTTTCTATGTATGTGATACCTAAAATTAGCTTCTGCGTAGGCAAGGACATTTGTTCAAGATGTTTGCCGGTATCTGTGTCACTTAACATCAAGTGAGCCTTCTGCCCCTGTTATATCAATAAATCAAACGGAATTAGCAAGTATAAAAGAAATAGAAACATGCCAAATGTTACCTGTACACTCATCCATCAAGTCGTTACTCAAGCATTGATCAGCCCAACGCTGTGCCAAAAACGCCAATTCATCATTCCACCCCTGAAATTATAATATACATTATTGAATAGATAATTACTGCAGATCGCTATTCATTATACGTATACATATCAGTCGAGAAATTATTACATTCTCCACGATTGTCTCAGCATTTTATGTTAATTTAACATTCGTTTCCCATATAGACGCGGCATTCCGTCATCCAATTTGTCCCAACATTCCAGATTAAACGACAACATTTACAAACTAGATCTTGAAATTAAAATACGTTCATGGTACTAAAACGGCTATTCTATTTATGAATCTAAACTGAAAATGACGACTTTACGTTTTAAAAATTTACACGGTCGCTCCCCTCAATTTCTTAATATCAAAATTTCTTAAAAGTAACAATCAAAACACAGTCAACAATTTTCACTACGGAAAGCACTAAAACTAAAAGTGCTTAAACTAAAAAACAAAAAAATAATAGTATTGTATTGTACTGTCAGTGATAGAAATACAAATTCCATATGTCGCTAGTCCCCACACTAGGAAGTCCCTGTGTTGTGGGTACCTAGATAACAATTAGTCAGTGGTCAATGGCGCTCCTACGTCTTTAGGTCTGGGCCTCAGATGTCTGAATCTGTTTCATGATCATATGTCAATCTAATAGGCAAGTAGGTGATCAGCCTTCTGTGCCTGACGCACACCGTTGACTTTTTTGGGTCTAAGGCAAGCCGGTTTCCTCACGATGTTTTTCTTCACCGTTCGAGCGAATGTTAAAAGTGCACATAGAAAGATAGTCCATTGGTGCACAGCCGGGAATCAAACCTACGACCTCAGGGATGAAAGTCGCACGCTGATGCCACTAGGCCAACACTGTTCTTTGATTCCTATTATTCAAGTTTAATATAATTATTAAAATAACAATTTCAGTTGTTAATTTTTCTAGGTTTCATTTCAGCCTGCATCTCTAAGCAATGAGGTCAGATGAGGATGCCGCAAGAACAAATGCTCATACGGTCACAGAAAACATCGGAGTCTTAAACCAAGAAACTATGTGTCAGACACAGATGGCTGATCAGCTACTCGTCCATGAAAAAGACAATGATCAAGAATTTGCAAACTGAGGTCAAGACTCTAAATGATTAATAATTTAAGTTTACTTTAGTTAATTTCAAATTACGATGCATCAGCGGTTAATTCTTTAATTATTTACATATTTATACTTCGTTACATTCAAAGAAAAACAAATAACATAAAAAATATAGGGGATGCAACAGCGCCTTTTCGCTAACAAGATCTCTTCCAGGCAACAATAAATAATAGTAAGGGTAAAATGCAAGAAGTGCATTACCAAATCAACAAAAACAAAATTTGTACAAGTAACACTGAAAAATTATAGAATTACCAAACTTAATCTAAAATAATACAGAAAAAATAAACTAAAAACTAATCTCACGGATTCATACAATGTAATACAAAAAATTTAATTAGCTATTCATCGTAGATATACCACGCAGTTAAGAATTCATTCTAAACTTTTAGAAACGATTTAATATATAAAAAAGCAATTAATTATGATTTATGATTCTATTTCGGAAGAAAAACATTACAACACAATAGTAATACAGGTCAATGATCCTCGTTAGACTTAAATAAAACGTTCCATAAAGTTTGTATCAGAAAGGAGATTGATTTCTATTGTCTATGACATTCCAATTTAGGCGCCATTCATACGTTTTGTTCGATTGGATTGTAGCGCCGCTGGACTGTTAATATTTATATCAGTTATATATTATATAATTTACCAATTTCAGCATATTTTTAGCAGGTGGCAATGACCGTATGGCACCCGATGCTACTTTATTTCTTCGGCTATTTATTTTATCCAGAATTTCTTCTTTGTCATTGTCACTTTTTAGTAATGTCTCATGCATATAACAATTAGATACTGGGCCTTCCTGAAACTATTGACTTTCGATTAATTTACTTAATTACTAAATAACAGTTAAATCTTTAACCGTATACAATAGTAACAATTTTAGTGTAATTTCGTTTACACGGCTCACAGCGCAACAGAACCTTTCAATAAGAAATATTGTTTCCCATTTACACAACATTTGTCGTGTAGCCAAGCCTACAAAAATTATTGGTCCAGTAGTTTCTGAAATAATCGCGTTCAACCAACCAAACTCTTTAGCTTATACAATTAACATAAATATATTTTGAGTAAATAAATGGTGTAAGTATATACACGAATATGGTATTAAGAAAATGTTTTGCCGCCCAACAAAATTGTTGAAATGAAAATGAAGGCTTTTGACGTAATTTTCGCAGGTGTTTAATAAAAAGGTTTAGGAATTCATCATTCTTCGTTATCTCATAGTGAAATTACATTAACATAGTAGACATTAACATTGTATTTTCAAGGAATTTGGTTTCTATTTTAATTTATTAAAATGTAACACCGGGATTTTCAGCGTGGTATTTTAGAAAAAAGATACGATAAAGATGCGTTTATAGTTTTCCCAAAGTTGTTTAAGCTTGAGAAAATCTTATAATATGACATCATGATAATTAATATGACATTTGCATACCTATATATACTGCTCAAAACAATTAGCGGAACAAGATTTTTCTCCTTTCTATTGCTTAAACTAAAATTAGATTTAAATTAACTTGTACGCTATTTTTTACCTTGTTAATTTGTTAATTACTACAATTAATAAAAAAATTCAATTTGTATTTTTTTTATTAAAAAATAATTAAAATGTGCATTGTAGTCGAAAAACAAAGTGACGTCTTTGAATTTTCATTACTTTCTAATCACAGAAAACACATTTTAAGTAGTTTTTTTCAATCTTTTGAGTATTAATAGAAATTGAAGTGAGCCTTTTGAGTATTGTTATTCATTGAAGCGAGTGAGTTTAGGTCATAATGCCAGATCTGACTGAATTGCATGTCTCCCGAGCTATCGCTTTGCTTGAAGAGGGTCGCACTATGCGTTATGTAGGAAATGATCTAGGAGTAGCCCCTTCTGTTATCTACAGACTTTGGAAGCGATACCGTGAGACGGGAGAATACTCACGAAGGCGTGGTCAAGGTCGGCTGATTGTGCGGTATTTTTATAATTAATCAATCTGAAAAATAACTTTCTTTGCAAATAGACGATTTATTATTATTAGTAGTTCGCCATATAGTTATTTATAATATTTTATTTTAAGGTCATTTGGACATAACATGTTAGTCTGAATCAAAAATTTATACGCCCACTACAACTAGTGGCGCTGGAATATTTATAAATACATTAACACACCTTGCATATTGGATTTTTGCTGCCATTATTTTGAAAACACAATTCGCAAATTTTTTCGCTGTCCACAAAACATTTCATAAATAAAAATATTAGTAAAAACATTTAAATAGTAATGAAATGTCTTTATATCCAGATGGCGACGCAAATGCGTAACCTTCAATAGTGATAATAGACATTTATGTATGCAATTTTGATATACTTCAGTGCAGTAAAACTCAACATTTAATGGTCTAGAAAGTTTTTTGTTATGCGTTATATAGCATATGGCTTGAATCGCAATATAACTTTACTGAACTCATTTAATCAAAATAAATAAAATATGTGTTGTTATGTGTCTCATTAAGTGTATGTCATATATCAAAGAGTATTGATACTCTTAATTGATTACAGCTTCGTTTCTTTATATAGAAGAGGGACGAAATTAAGAAACGTATTGAACAATATATTAATATCATACGATTGTCTTGACATTGACATCTTCTATAATAGAATTAATGTTTATACGTCATCGAAGTCACGCCAAATCGAAATTTGTTCGTTTCATTATTATTGATCAGGTCAGAGAGTAGTATTTTTTTTATATACTGAAGTTTATATATATGATACATTGAACATCCCTTTATTTTTTTGTGCCTTTATTGCTGATATGCAGTATAATATATATAACCACTTGTTTAAGTTACATAACCTAACTTAATCTAATACATCAGATGTGACGGTTTTGGTGATCAGCGTATCCTGTGACAAATAGGCCTCTTCCAGATGCTTACATTCTTTTCTAATGATTAAGCTCTTCTTGTCCAAGTTGTGCCTCCTATCCTCTATAGATCGGCTGCCCATCTCTTTCCATTTTTCCATCTCGTAGTTGCATTTCATTCAATCCATTCTGTAATATTTTTTGTCCTTTTCTACCTGCTATCTCTAGTAATGTGCCCGGTCCAGCGCCATTTCAATTGCCTTATTTTCTTTATTATGGCCTTCTTCGGTTCGTCTTTGCGTATTAATCTTATCTTTTCTCTACTCACATACTCTATAGTGATCATCAAAAACAGGTTATAACTGTGATACGCAGTGGAGTATACATTATTTAAATTGAAGGACATAAAGATTGCTGATTCTCAAATTGAATTCGAAAACTCAGAAGAGATAACGTAGCAAATTGTTGAGGAAATTGTGAATTTTCACTTCGAGATTGTGAGAAACTGCAGAAAATTAACTTCTCTGATGCCCGCAGGTTAAATATTCTTTCGCTGGACTTCAGTCAAGTCAAGTCAAGTTGATGTTTTATTTTAATAATTCTAATTGCCTACAGTCGTTTACAGCGACATAAATAAATAATAAATTTTATTTACTTGTTATTTGTTTTACAATAGTGTTTTGCCAATGTTCGTTGATAATTAAGTTCGATAAAGTGTAGAGAGCTTTAGATAGTAGAGCTTTTATATGTTTTAGTGTATAATAAAAAGCTGTAACATAAAATGTTAACAGTATTATATTTCAATAGTTATGTAGATTATTGTCAATATTTTATTTAGTTTCATTGGAATGTCGGCGGAGTCAGCAAGATTTATTATTTTTGCACGCTATTCTTAATGGGTAGATCTATTTGCTGCCATTTATTTCTTTAAGAGTCCCTCTTATTTATTTATTTTATTTATTTACACTTCGTTGCAAATAAAAGAAACACACTACATAAAAATTATAAGGGATGCAACGGGCGGCCTTATCACTAATAAGCGATCTCTTCCAGGCAATTCTAGTTAAAGAGAAAAAACTAAAAAAAAAAAAGAAACATGTTGCGTGCGAGAAGTGCAGAACCAAATGTTATATATAATATATATATATATATATATATATATATATATATATATATATAACCTTAATCTAAAGTAATACAAAAGAAAATATTAATAACAGACTAAAAACTTAAAAGCTAATCTTACAAATTCATGAACAGCGAATAGTGATGCAAAAGGAAACATAAGAATTATACAAGTCACGATTGATCAGGATAGGATAAGGTTAAGAAATGATTATACAGAAGAGTTTTAAAAGATGACAGAGAGGTAGCCATGTCTTATGTCACAAGATATTCACAATTGTTCCATGTGCCTTGTTCAAACACGAATTATTTCGCCAATGTATCGGGTTTTAGCTAACTACAATATAAATTTACAATTATTTTACATAATTTTAAATTTAATTTTCGCGTGCTTTACAGCGTGCGTGGTCACGGTAAAATAATTGTAAATTTATAATAAAACATAACTTCAAATCCGTTAAAAAAGTAACTACAATATAATTTATGAAAATGTAGACATTTTCCACTTTACAAAGAGTGTGTGATATACTTAGGAAGCGGGAAGACTTTGACTTAGCAGCAGTGACAATTTATTTTTTCTTTAATATATTTAGTTGTAGGTAGTTTGTTTAATGTTTAATTTTCTTTTTTTATCTATTAATGTACCTAATTGACTTACGTTTTCTGTTTCGTATGTTTTGTATTATATAATTTTGTGTAATAACTAGGATACCCTATGAACGAGGCTCAAGGCTTGTAATTGTAATTTGTTGTAATATTTTACTGTCAGGTTAAAGATATTTGTTTAAGAATCTTCTTTTGGAGCATTTCTTTTCTGCCTCCTAATTAGCTACTTATTTATATTAGCTATATTAGCTACTTACCTAGTCATAATGGGTTAACGAACCCTAAGATTACTTGCGTATTTTTATTCATATTATTATTATTATTTGTTAGTATATGTTATATGTCATTTTGTTTTTTTGTTAATTGTTTATGCGCTTGTATAACCTGATTCGGTGTTTCTTTTTGTATGTTCCCATACTAGGGTTGCCTGGGAGAAATCGATTGTAAGCGATAAGCCTTAATAACTTATGTAACCAGTTTTTATATGAATGTTTACCGTAACGAAGTATAAATATATCGACGTAGGAAAGCACATTTGCTGTAAGTAGACATATTGCAATTGTTCACCAGAGCCAAAAAACTTTATTAATTTCGGAAAAAAATTAATAGTGTCTGACCTATCCATGATATTGCTACCATTTTTGAAACATATATTTAATTAACTGCCAGTCACCATTTGCAATGTAAACTTTTTATCCAAAGTTACTATAAGTACGTGTTTGGCTAGTTACAGCAAACAGTTTTTTAAATCACAAACCTTTAAAACGCTGTAACTAAGGAAGAAAAATGTACGCGCGGAAATATTATCAATTTACAGGCGGTAAATATGCTGTATGCAGGAAATTTATGTATTTGGGTACTTTTAATTGCAATTCAAGATGTAAGATTAGTTTATAATTATGATTAGATCTAGAAATGCAGTGGGTCATTTGGTAATGTAATGTTTGGTTGAAATAAAATGTCGTAAATGGTAAAAAAAAACCAAAACTGTAGGTTCCCTAAACTTGCTGTAAGTAAACGAATGTAAAAATCACACGCCGCTGAAATGCTGTAAGTAGCGTTAAGTTTTTAAATGGGAAGAAGTAAGTATTTGTAAAGAAAAAAATGCAGATTTTCTTTTGCTGTAAGTGCGAAATGTCTGAAATGACTAGATTTTGGTCTACATACAGCATTTAATCTTGCTAAAAATAATA